GTGTGTGTGTGTGTGTGTGTGTGTGTGTGTGTGTGTGTGTGTGTGTGTGTATACTCCACGTCAGCGCCTCTCGCCAGTACACCTGGACACACCTGTGAAATGTGTCCGTACCGGTACGGCCTGCTGGGGGAGGGCCCGCAGGTCAACGAGCCGCCGTGGCACTAGTTAGACGAGCTAGCTGGAGTTAGCTGTAAGCTAGCCAGCTAGCCTTAGCCTTAGCGTTCAGCCCAGCTAGCCTTAGCTAGCAGGCTAGCAGCTCGTCTCCTTTGGTTTAACTGTAAACTACAGAATAAACTGAACAACCAGCTGGTTTAGAGTTAACCACCGCCCCTGCTAGTTAGTTTCCACACTAGTTAACTGTCCTGACTTCTCTAACTAACCAGCCTACTGGGTCTGTGGGGCTAGTTTAGCCGCTAGTTAGCACTAGCTGCCGCGGCTCCGCTAACAGGAACCTGATTCTGACTAAATGTAAATAATCCGAATAAACCGTGTTTATCTGCTACTGGACCCGTCCGTCCCTCGGCCGCCAGCGGGCCGGGATAAGTTGCCCCAGCCCCGGCTCTCGCCCAGCGGCTCCGCTTACCTTCGCTCTGACCCCGGCTCGCTGCCCTCTCCTCCCCGGCTTTGCTGTGGTTCCCTCCGGCCATGCTGCGCTCCCTGTGCCGGCCGTCCGGACCGAGCCTTCGCCCCGCTGCCTGCTCGGCTAACGCGCCGCTAGCCCCGCAGCTAGCGCCGCTCACGGTCTGGACGCGGCCGGGGCTCCGACCTCCGGCTCGCTGCTCGGGCTGAGGCGGGAGGCGGCGGCGCGTCTGTGGGCCTGAGGACGGACCGGAACCGGGGCGGATAGAGGAGCCTGCGGAGGAACCAACGGAGGAACCAGCGGGAACATCAGGAGGAGAACAGTCCGCGGAGCAGCCGAGGTGTCCGGGAAGCGAAGGGACTACAGCGGCGGAGGTGGAGCCGAGAGCAGGAGGTGCCACTCCGAGCGGAGAACCGGGACCGGCTCTGTTCTGCCTTTGAACCGGTCCGGACCGGCTCTGGTTCTTTTCTGCTATGGAATCGGATTTTTATTTTTAAATAATTAAATAACTTTTTAAAAAAATACTCTGTTTTAACTTATTTGACTGATTATTTTAATTTTTTCATTTCATATTTTTTCAGAATCAGAACCGACTTTATGGGCCACGTTTGTTCAACTGTGACTCTGATGAATTCTTTGTTTTCTGTCTAGGAAATAAAATTAAAATGAAAATATGAGTAAAGAACAATAAAATAAACATAATATCAGATTTCTCTCTGACAGAAGTTTAACTTTTTATGTCAGAATATTAATTTCATTCATTTTATGTCTCAGTTTTCATTTCTTGCTTCACACAACAGAACAGAAAAACTTTATTTATACCAGAGCTGGAACACAGCAGCTCAGAGGAAAAACAGCAGATCACAACAAGAAAAGACTGAAGTTAGATAGTTTGAAAAAGAAGAAGAAAAAATATGACAAACATTTTTTAAATAATGAAAAATAAAATAAATAAACTAACTGTACAAAATGTGCACATATATTATTATTATATATACATGAATATATGTTATATTTTTTATTCATATATAATCTTATTTATTGTGGACTTTTTGTCATAATTTAGATGCTTTTTCTCTCCAAACCCTGTCAGATATTTAAACTCGTGCTGTAACATCCTTCAAACACTGAACCCTTCATTTGTCTCATCTTATCTCATAAATGCTGCTTTTTATTTCCTGGATCAGATTGTTTTATTTCTAAATGTCTGTTTGATCATTTTTACTTAGTTAGCAAAACAAAAACAAAAAAACAAAAAGAGAGCTTCTTAATCTGAGCTCTTCTGACTTTTTCCATAAGTGACTTTCACAGTTTTTAATAACTCTACTTTTTAATTAACTTCAGAACTCTGAGTTTGGACCTTTTCTCTGTGTTTGACATAATTTAAGCTGAAACTTCTAAATGATTTTGTTGTTGTGATTTCATTTATAGATTTTCTTTATTCACACTAAATTTTTATGATAAACATAAATTCAATCATTTTTACTCATCAGATGATGAGCAGATAAATAGTTTATATTCCTGAGAAGAACAGAGCGCCAAAGACTGAATGAAGTCTGATTTCAGCTCAGAGTGAGACCTCCTCTTCTTCCTCCTCCTCCTCCTCCTCTCTGAACTCAACCATCACTTCCGTGTTGTTGTGCAGGTGGCGCTCTGGAGGATTCCTATTGGCTGCTGGCCGTCTCACCTGCCACATGCTTCACGTGTTTGAGTTAAAAAAGGTTCCGAGACACAGAAACAGTTGGAGACAGAAAATCTTTTATTCAGACGTCGGATCAGTTTGTCTGGTTTCGATCCATAAATTCTTATTTAATGTAAATAAACTGAACCAAGTGACCAGAAGCCACTTCCAGGATAAACAACAGGAAATACACGCGTATTTACGGTGACGTCACATCCGGCGGGAGCTCAGCCCTCCGAGGAGAGCCTTCAGCTACCTGCTCAGGTGAGACACTGGAGGACGTTTAAGTCCAGAAGGACCAAGTCAACGCTCTGAGGCCGAATCAGGGAGTCTGCTGAACCGATAAATAATCAATCATCAATACACGTCCTCTGGTTTGATTCAGGATCAAAGTTTAGTTACAACAGGTTCAAGTGTGAGACGCTGGACACCTGCTGATCCGGATCCTGCAGGAGGCGCTGTTGGACCGGAGCCGTTCTGAGTGCTCCCCACATCTCCGAACTGATCAATAATCAATAATCAATAAATAAGTGATCAGGAACCAGCAGAGATCAGTAAACGGCCGAGAGACTCAATAAATATCCATCCAGAGTTCAGACTCATTCTGCAGAGAGACCAGGACCAGAACCAGGACTTGGACCAGAACCAGGACCAGGAGTGTGCGTGGCACAGCCTTTAATGTGACAAACTCTGATCTGCAGCTTCAAGTCCAGAAACAAAAAGTCCAAAAGTCTGAGGAGACCCGTCACATTCCCGGTCCAGATGAGTCCAGAACCCAAGTCTAGTCCAGGTTCCTCTGGTTCTGTGGGTTCTTCTGGTTCAGAGGGACTGTCCCGGGAGCAGGCTGTGCTCCCCCTGCAGGTCCCCCCTCTCCTCCTCGTCCTCTGGGTCTCCCTGGTCCATCCAGGGGTGGGTCAGAACCTCCTCCAGAGTCGGCCGGTCCTCGGGTCGGTACGACAGACACCAGCGAATCAGAGACTGGCATTCTGTCAGGACAGACGGAGAGACGCCGTGAGCGAGAGCCGGACTCACCTGAGCCAATCAGGTGTCAGCGGGGGCGGGGCCTACCTTTAGAGACGCGCCTGGTGAAGAGGGGCGTGGCCTCCACGATCTCGTGGTCGCCTTCAAACGGAATGTCGCCGCAAACCATGTCGAAGAGCAGAACGCCGAGAGACCAGACGGTGAGCGGGACGGCGTGGTAGGACCGGGACTCGACCCACTCAGGAGGACTGTAGACCCGAGTGCCTGGGGGGGAGGAGAGGAGGCAAGGAGAGGAGGAGGCAAGGAGGAGAGGAGATCAGTGTTTGTTTACATGAATGTTCTCATTACGTTCCCATTACGTTTGCATCGTTGTATCAATAAAAACCTTTAACGTAAAAACACTCGTTAAGTCAAGTGGTTCTGAGTCCAACGGGCTGTTCTGTGATGTTCTTGGTACCTTCGAACTCGCTGTACTCCGTCTCCTTGAGCGGCGCTCCGGAACCGAAGTCGATGATCTTGACGTCCAGCGTCCTGGTGTCCACCACGATGTTCTCGTCCTTGATGTCTCGGTGCACGACGCCGTGAGCGTGGACGAAGCGCAGCGCCGCCACGATCTGACGGAAGAACCTGACAGAACCAAACAGGGAACGTCAGAACCCACGAGACGGAGCAGACGAGTGGGACAAAGTGAAGAACTCATCAGAACCCTGCAGCAGTACCTGAGTGCGAGGCGTTCCGGCAGCGCCCCCCTGTCGGTGATGAAGTCGAACAGGTCCTGGCTCTGCGGCGGTCTCTCCAGAACCAGCAGGAAGCCCCGTCCCTCCACGTGGAACCAGTCCAGCAGCCGGACCACCCCGCCGTGACCTCCGACCTCTGACAGCCGCTGCAGCAGAACGATCTCCATGGGAACCGGAGCCGCCTCGCCGGGCTACGGGGGGAACCATCGGTTAATGTCGGATCGATAACGTTTTCTGATGGTTCTCTGGAGAACTCAGAAGCTCCGCTCCGCTTTGGGGCTTTTTCGGCCTGAATCATCCTCTGCAGGTGCGTTCAGGTGTTTTTCTGCTGGTGGGAAATCCCAGCCACAACAAACCACAGGGGGGAAACCCTGAACTGTGACATCACAGGTTTCCGTGGGAACCAGCGGGGGGGCGGCCCCCACCTACAAGTGCAGTTCCCCAGTGCGTCCAGCAGGGGGCGGAGCTACAGCGGCCTGCTGGCTGCTCTGTTTGGTTCGGTCTCAGTGAAGCGGAGCTCTGAGTTCTGGTGTGTGTTCTGACAGGGACTCACCAGGCGGGCCCACTGCTGGACTCTGTCGCTGGAGATCTGCTTGATGGCCACCTGGACGGACAGAAGACGGACCGGGTCAGAACAGGACAGCAGCTCACACACATGAAAAGGCAAAAAAAAGTTCTGCATCCTGACCTGCAGTCCGTCCGACAGCCGCTGGCCCGAAAACACGGAACCGAAGCCCCCGCTGCCCAGCAGAGAGCCGCAGCGGTACTGGCTGCAGAACGGTTCTTTCACTGGAACAGAACACAGAACAGGACGTGTTAAAAGCTGCTTCCTGTCCGAGCAGAGCCAGAACCCAGGAGAACCGTCTAACAGCCTGAACACCTGGAGGTCCAACTAAGGTTCTGCTTCGTGCTTGTTCTGTTTAGAGTCACTAGAACCGAGGATCTGTGTAGAAACACCAACAAACAGCAGCTCTGAGCCCGAACCGACCCGAGTCACGTGTTTGGAGGTTTTCTAAAATAAAACAAGACAAAGAACGAGCTGATGATTAATTAATGATAAAACGCTCCAGGTTCGGTTCTGACTGACGGAACACCGGACCGTAGATATAAATCCGGTTTGTTCGCCTGTTTGACTCTCATCCCACCTGTCTGGTTCTGATCCATCACATCACGACGTTAAATCAAACCAGTAAAACCACTAATCAGCGGAAAAGTCATAAAAGCTCCTGTTCAGGTTGATAAAACACAGTAACCATGGAAACAGGTGGAGGCCGAACCGGACCGGACCGGTACCGCTCCTTACCGTTCTTTCCCCGGACCTCCACTCGGAGCTCCACGGACGGTTTATCCAACATCCTCTGCAGGTTCTCGCTCACTCCGGGCTCATCGCGTCCGTCCTGCTGGGCTGAAGTCCTGCTCGGTTCCGTTTCAGCTCGGCCGCTTTCCCGCTTTTTGATCCAAACACAGCGACGGAACACGTCCGTTAAACCCACTCGGTACCGGTGTGAAGCGGAGCTCGTCAACAGTCTGACCGCCTTCTGTTTTCTTCCGCTTTTATCTGGCGCCGGCAGGCCACGCCCCCACCCCGCCTCACCGGCCAATCAGCGCGCGAACGTGTGCTCCAATGTTTTGAAACCGTCCAGCCAATCAGGCTCGAGCTGCGGTCTCATGAATTTGAATATTCATCCCGCGAGAGGAATTCGTAGAATTCAGAGCGAGCGGGAGGGGGGCGGAGGGGGAGGCGCGTTCACGTCATGCCGGGAAGACGGCACTCGCGCGCACCCCCTGTCACGCAGGCGCAGTTCTGTTGCTGCTGTTAGAACCAGTCAGACATCCTGCTGGAGCTGTTGGTGTGTTTATCATCAGTCCAGAAGTTCTAATGTTTTTTAAAGTTTATTTATTTATTTATTTATGTATTTATCTGAAACCAGAAGTTTACATAAAACACATAAAACCTTTTACTAAACGTTTCCTGTTTCAGCTCAGTCAGGATCACCAACATTAGTTCTATTTGCTAAACACCTGAATAATGAGAGAGAGAATGTTTAGGACTTCCTTCA